AGAAAGATGACAAGGAAATAGGCTCCTTGAGAATATTTTGTAATAACATTATGAGACGAATTGAGAAAGTTACTTGGGTCTGAACCGATTGAAAAGCATAGGCTCCTTGAGAAGAACATTTAACGCGTCCAATGGTAAATATCAAAAAGAAAAACAATTAATGAGCATAATCATTAGAAAAATTGACAGAAGCTCTATAAAGTTAAATGGAAGCATTAAAAGAGCTGGAAATTAGAGGAATGTACCAAGTCTTTCAAACTGAAATCTATCTCCAACTGTAACATCTCTAGGTGAAGGTACAGCAAACGCCTCAGATATGACTAATTTAGATTCAAGGTTCAAATCACCGAGCCAGTCATCAAGTTTGGCAGGATTCTGTACGCAATAACAAACCAGCAAGTGTCAACCACATATTCAATAAAAAAAGGAATGTGTGCTAAGACGGAAAGAAAATGTATCACAAGGAAAGATTTTGAAGCTCAGAAAGGAAGAGTTTGTGAAACAATGTGACTTCTATCTTTAGTGGATCAACCCTAAGAGAATTCTTTTTGGCGGCCCCTTTAAAACTATTGCAGCTTCGTTATCCTTCTCGACCAACTGTCAGTAAAATGGCAAACAAAAGTAGATAATAAATTAGTACAAAATCATAATAATTCATAGTACATCTGGAAACCATCAATTACTATCTGCATAATTCCATTGGGCACTATAAGGGGAAATAAAAAAATGGGCATGTAAACATAGAGATTTTAAGTATGTTTGACATCTTGTTAAGCAAGAGACGTCCAAAATATTGGCATATGGCATGTTACATAAGATTTATGCAACATCGGCACAAGCAACAACATATGGCATGTTACATAAGATTTATGTTCCTAAAATAGGCACCCACAATTAAAATTTAGGTTCTACATTCATTATTTAACTGGTGGTTGGATTCTAACACACATTAAGGCTCGGCAGAAATGTACACATTCATGTGATTAACTGTCAAGCTACCTAGTCAAGCGATATCTTCACTCTCTATCTATAACACGAATTTCAAATTGTTGAATACCTAGTGAATCAAAATAATATCGAAGCAAGACCAGATCACAACATCAACTACATAAAATGATACGATTCATGATCAAACAATAATATCACTCAGAATAGAGAAACAGAAGCTTAGGCTCAGGGTTGATATAGAATCCCCCTTCCAACATAGCCTCACGCTTCAATTAAATTAGCTCATTTTCCTGCTATATATGAGGATTTACACCACAATTAGAAACTTGTGATTGTAAAGAATTAATATCGTAAAAAGACTATCAACAATCCAAGCAAAACAACTCTCGATTTCAAGAACAAGCCACAATTTACAAACATGCCAAAACCTCGTATGATTTCCAACTATATTTGGTGAGAGTAGTTCTCGAAGAATTTCTAAGAAGTTAGTGTATTCTGTTACAATATTGTTGCAAGGAATAATGCTAAAAAATTTAGCTGGTTTTTTTATGAGAATAGACTATTTCCTTCTGCAGGAGTTCAAATATGCATATCAATAAATTGAATCACATGTATATCCAACAAATGGACAGTATATGGGAAACATTAGCACAAATTTCACCATCGTAAATGCAATGTTTGTCAAAGATATGGACATTTGTTTAAACTTGGTAAACTTCCAATTCTCAATATCGTATTCTGTTCATTCCCCAGTATTAAATTCATTTTAATGTGATACAAATTAATTCCCCCCTCTTTCTCAGATAACCCAAAAACTCAAAAACAATAATGATTATATTTCCCCAAATACTCAAAACACAATTTGGGTTCAAGAAAAATACGAGTGCTTCCAACATGCACATAATTGGAGTAAATATTTTTTGTTATACAATCATGTCTTCTTCAGTTTCCTTGGGCATAACCTTTTCCTTACCCATTTAATAACTACTAAACCAGCAACCAATTTAATAAAATTACCATACAACTGATACAATGCGCTTGACTCTACTTGTTCTCAATACAAAATTGATTTCCAATTAAAATTCATAACAAAGTTAGAAATCGAGAATCCCCATTAATTAATAAATCATGAATTGATATTTTAACACTCAAATTTTATCCCAACTAAGTAAACATACCATTTAAATACAACAATTAACAGAAAAGCAAGCCTCAAGAAAAGAGGCAAAACATGTCAATTTTACTAATGGCTACTGACTACTGCACCTAGCGTCACCCACAAAAATTAAAGTACTCGGCCATTAATGGGATTAACCAAAGGCAAAACTCAACTCATCGGTCCGATATCGTTTTCTTCAAAGTCAACCTAGTCAGCATCATCTTTGGGGTCCATACCATTCTCCAGCTTACCAGAAAGAATAGCCTAGATTTCCCTATTACTGGACCACTAGTTACAGGACAATGAAAATTGAGGGAAAAACAACATTTCTTCTTTACAGGGATAATCAAGATTTGAATACCCAAAAAATTGAATTCTACAATATGGAAATCACCGTCGAGAGCGACACTCAGTTCTCCTTCCAGCTCGTCCTAGCCTCCCAACTCCCCCACAACATGTGGAGGCATCTCTCGTCGGCAACTGCCATCTTGGTAGCGAAAGAAAATGATGGATTTGAATGAAAAAGAGAGAAAATAGAGGAAAATGGTGGATGAGAGGCGGATACGAGATTAGGGCTGACGTTGATTGGGTTAAATAATAGACTTCTCTTTTCGCATCATTTAAAAAACGTTGTGAAACATGAAACTTTTCGTAACATTCAATAAACATCGCAAAAAGTCATTTTTTTCAACGTTTATTTAAAAAATGTTGCCATAGACCCCTTTAGTAACATTCACTCACCAAAACGTTGCAATAGACCCCCTTTAGCAACATTTAATGAATCAATGTTGCCTTTTAAATGTTGCAAAAATCCATTTTTCTTGTAGTGACCTTCGATCCTCTAATGTTTTCTCTTCTTCTTTGTACTGCTCGGATTCCTTCAAATGCTCTTCAACCGTGGTAGATACCTTTTCTTCTATAGCAATTGATCTCTTCACATTTATCTCAGGTAACTGTACCCTACTGCGAGTAGTTATAGCCTTGCAGTACTCCTTAGGATTCATTTCAGTATCACTAGGCAATGCTCTTGGTAGTCCATCTAAAAGTGCCTTCGTTATCTGTCC